ATTCTGCTTTTCTGGGACTCACACGACTGCTACCCATGCTATGCTGAGTTGCTCTGTCCCAAGTCTGACCACTCAGGTGTCTTGGCCTATTCTGTGCCCACTGCACCTCTGTGCCAGGCCTATGTGTTCTGGCCCATGCTGCACCCACCATGTTGCTTTTTCCCGGGCCTCATGGGCACTACAGCCTGAGCTGTGCACACTGAGTCATTCTGCCCCAAGTATGACCTACTCTGTGCTCACCATGTTGTTTCAACCATGGGCTCCCTGCCCAAGGGCACGAGCCACAGCTGCACCGAGATGGCTACACTAAGCTGAGGAAGTGGGTGGGGTAAACCTACAATCTTCCATGACCTGCATGCTACATTTTTCTTAATTCAGTATTCATTTTGGTCCTCCAAACCTTTAGTTGGTGTCCAGAGTTCTGAGATTATCGATTTCATCAGTTTTTGCTTGTTTCTTCTGGGTTTGTTGTAGGGGAGCAGGAGAATGTGACTGTTTATGTCGCCATCTTTCAACATCTTTTCTTCAATAACACTTTTATTGGAATTTTTAGTTTTTTAAAACTATAATAACATAGAATATCTGCACAAATATTCTGAACTCAAATCATCTGAAAAACCTCCAAAAACTGTAATAGTGGTTAACTCTCAGGGTATTAAAAACGATATGGTTTCTCTTTAGTAGCAAATAACTAGGCGTGCCAAATTCAAAATTATCTAACTTCAGGAAGCAAAAATTAATTTATCAATGGCACCATTTATAATTTTGCATATAATAGAAATTTTATTTTATGATAAAATGCAAATGCCTATGACTCCAATATAAATTTTCTATAGGTACATACATATGGATTAAAATGCATGGAAAAAGGTCAAGGATACACACTGAACTAAAAACTTGAGAGGAGAAAACCAGTATTTGGTGTGGTAAAGACGACTGATCTGTTATGTTCTAAACAATATTTATGCTTTCTTCTTCTAGTATCAGCTCGTGGTATTGACCTCTCTCCACAGGAGCACCCTGTCCTGGGAAGACCAAGGAAGCCCCCCTACCCCATGGGCACCAGTCATGGCTGTCAAGTTCCCTTTCTGTTTTAAGGAACATGATAACACCCACAAAGGCAGGGCATGATTTCACTTAGGGGCTTGAGTTACAAGGATTTCTGAGCTCTCCTCTTACTCTCTGAGGACCTGGGGTTCCGGTAAATTGATAATTCTTGGCTTGTTACTGGAAGCTCAGTGGAAAGAGGATGGGAATAGGATAGGATAACTACCCCATTTTGCAGTTGAAGAAACTAATCCCGAAGAGGATTGACTATCTTATAGACTCTAGACATGGGAGGACAACGTATTAGGCGTAACTTCCCACCTCCCCCAGACAACTATCTGGGGACCTTATTATTAAAAGTGGTATATAAGAGTAGACATCAGTTCCTCACTGTCTGAAAGAGAAGGCTACAGATGCAAAGTCTAAGAGAAGGGGCAGGCTAGGAAAGGGGCAGTTGAATTCCTCAGATAAAAGGGAGAAGGCTGGGATTTATTCAGTGTCCAGTGACTAAGTGGCAGATGAAATTTCAGTGGAAATAGAGAAATCAGAACAGGCTGTCTTCCCCAGAAAAACAGAGGTAGAGGCAGTGGGTCCAAAGCAGCCACAGCTGCAGTCTGACTGGGGGCAGCCAAGCATGGTTAGTAGTTGAGAGCATCTAGGATACTCAAGGGTTGAACCCTCATATAAGCTCTCGCTCTACCTTTCCCTAAGTTAAAGTGATAGGCAAGGAGAGGCCAAGGTCAAGATAGAAAATGTTCCCAATTTCAAAAGAACAGCCTCTTGGGAGTTAGTAAGAAAACAATTCCAGACACTGGTAGCATAAATTGCTTAGTCATTTCAGAAAACACATACTTATGACCCTGCAATTTCCTTCCTAGTTTTACACAATAAAGCACCGGTTTTCAGGCTCTGGGAGATGACCTGTTCATTGGTTAATCAGTTTAGCATATAAGAACGAGTACTTGATTAGAATGTAGTACAATACAAAATATCCAAGTAAAACAAGGATATTATTTCATGAAACAAAATCTTAGATGCATAAAATTGTTGGTTATACATTCATATTACATACACACGACCCAGGTATCCACGTCACTCCCTCAAATGCAATCTTCCCATTGAAGTCTTCCCCTTTGTACCTTATTTAAAATCAAACCACCCTTCTGACAGCTTTTGCTATATTAATTTTTCTTCGTATCACTTATCACCAGGTCTCTCTCCTTTGCAGATGTTACTTTCTTGACATGGCTGCTGGCAGCTCCATGGACACAAACTAACTGGTCTATGGTGATCTCCCAATAAATATATTCTAGGATTGGTTTTCATTGGCCTATTTTGGAACAAATGACTATTTCTAGACGAATACAAATATGGGCCAGGAAGAGAGGGTACCATCTGGGTTAAATGCCAACTCTGTGATCACAAGGGCAGGTTCTATTACTAGAAGAATGTAGAAAGTCCCACTGAGCAAACAAAAGTAATAGCCTTTACACGTTTAAGTTGGTAACCATGCTACATCAAATCAACAAGGGTTAATTAATCAAGTAATGCAGGGACAACTGGCTATTTGACAGAACAGATTGCTTATCTTACACCACATATAAAAACCACCACGAAGGATATATGCATCATTTAACGTCTGCTTCATACATGTCAAAGGAATCATATGTCACAGTGCTCAATTTCAAAAGGGATTTACTCATGCCAATATGAAAGCACAATGAAGTAGAAACACTTTTCAACTAGAATAACTTTATTTCTAATATCTAGCCTTTTACATAAGAATATGCAGGAGAAAAAAAAAAGTGCTGTTCATTCATTTGCTCCACCCAGACCTCCTTCTTCACCCTTTTCTATGCCCACTTGGGCTCCCCTGCAGATGACATCTGGTTGGGGTCTCCAAAAGGAGGCATCAGCAATTTGGTATTGAAATTCTGATAGTAACAATCTCCTACTAGGTGACCCTCACTCCCTGACAGCAGCTCTCATTGGACGCTGGTAAAAAAAAGTTTCCATCCTTTGCCCTTTAGGCTTAAGAATAGAAACGGCTTGCCTCTAGGTGCTTCAGTACCCCTTATTTGTCGAATTGAGTACCCGTTGCTGTCGATTCTGACTTATAGCCACCCTGTACCTCTGTACTAAGTCTGCCATTAAATTCTTTTTAGTTGAGTACAGACATCCCTATCTTATCAAAAAACAAAAAAAAATCTCCCACAAAATTACTGTGTAGGACAGAAAAAGTATTACTCTGTGTCAGCTGTAATGCTTTCAGCTCCACATAACAGAAAAATCCTAAAAACAATAGTTATTGCAGATAATATAAAGGTTCCAATAGACAGCAGGTCCAGAATGAGCAAGTTGAGCAGATCAACACCATCACCTTTGGGCCTGGCTTTTCTAATCTTGTGCACTGTCATCTTCATGTTATTGCCCCATAGGGCCACAAGCTACTATGTTATTACAAACAGATGTAAAAAAATCCAGCAGGACAATCTCGTCTCCTTTCATCACTGAGATCTTTCCCAGAATTACTGCAGAGTATTTTCCCAAACATCTCATTGCTCACGTCCATCCCAAACCAATCATTAGAATGGAATTTCCATGATTAATCTGGTTTTACCCCCTAAATCATCTGAAGGAGGGACAGAAAGAGTCCAGCAAAGTACTAGGGAATGGCTGTTGTGGGGGGGAGTGTCCCTTAGAACTGCTTACCAATGTGTTCCAAGGAAGTGTATGAAATAGGACAAAGGAGGTAGGGGCAGTATATGACACTTATAATATTAAATACATAGTTCTGGATTACACATATCATGCCTAAATACCACAATGAAGTATCAAGAGTTATATTAAAGAGGAGTTTCATTACATACCACTTATTTGCAGAGTGCAGTATTACAGCTCATAACTGATGTTAACGTCACATAATTTATGTAATTACTGTTCTTAGTAATATAATTTGCATTACTGATTAACCCAGAGGCAACTGAAAAACCTCAGAAAAATAGTGTTTGGATTCTTTATTGAAGTGGTAGTTCAGTAATAATGGCCACACCTAGTCAAAAAATGTAGGTAATGTAGTTCTTTGTGAAATAATATTTCACTTAAAACATATATTGGTCAAGCATGAAGAGACTCTGGTAGTACTTAGATTAGGACTGATCCAAAGGTAGTTAAAAAAACACAAAAACACTTTTTGGCTTCTTTATTCAAGAGGCAGTTCAGCAATAATGGCCACAGCCATTTATTTATGCTGCAAAATGTGAGAAATTTGTACTTTAAATTCGCCAAATATATTCATACATACACAGTGATGTTCTCGTAAATGTTTGACAGTATATTCTGTGGGAAAATAAAAACTCTGATTTGTAGAATTTGCCAAAGTCCATGGTGTAAATATTCACACTATGGCAATTTCAGGTAATCAAAGTGACACCACCACTACATAGCATTTTCATCATATAGATTCAGTAATGTAAGTAACCTAAAGAGCAAAGATAGTAGTAATGTAGTAAAATTAGGAAGTGATGAGTGTTGAGTAATTTATCACCTTTGTTTAATATAACTAGTTATATAATTTAATTTTTAATGATTGTGTTTAACTGATTCACAAAATTCCTGAAAAATTAGCAATCAGCACTTGCAAGCCAGTAGGAGCTGACTCTAGTATATCACTGAATGTGTATAAATATTTATATATATATACGTATATAATTATGTGATGCTGTAAAGACACTGGTGGTATTTAGTGTGAGAAATATTAGTATGTACCATAATAGTTACTAAACTAAGGGTTCATACTGTCTCCTCACAACCATGTTGGGCTACAATACGCAAATTAAGCACACCCCGAATTTGTTATATTCACATACTTACGACGCCTACAAACATCAAGGATTCTCCACACGTTTAATGCTATTGCTCAAATTTTTTTTAAGCTTCAGATTCCTCTGGGAATATGGGTATAAATAGATATTATATTTACAATAAAATTTTGGTATCACATCTGGAATATGACACTACAAACAAATTCTAGATAAAGATTTTTTACCACATTACTTAGATGAACAGATTTCCCTCAGTACAAAATTTTCTGAAGTTTTTTCTTGAAAGCTTTGGTTTTAATCTAGTATTAATTATCTGAAATACAATGATATGTCATTTCTTAGTAATCTGTGGCATTCTTTGGGTTTCTCTAATGTTATTTTTTAAACTGTAAAATAAATTCGACAGGTGGATGAAGGCTTTTGAACATTCAGGATGCAGAGATGGCTTTTATCCTTGTGTGAATTCTCTGATGTTTAGTGAGTACTGATCTCTGGCTAAAAGTTTTCCCACATTCCTTACACTCATAGGGTTTCTCCCCTGTGTGGGTTCTTTGATGTTTAGTGAGAGCTGATTTTTCACAGAAGGTTTTCCCACACTCATTACATTTATAGGGTTTCTCCCCTGTGTGAGTTCTTTGATGTACAATGAGGTTTGACTTCACACAGAAAGATTTCCCACATTCATTACATATAAAGGGTTTCTCTCCTGTGTGCGTTCTCTGGTGTACAGTTAGAGCTGACCTGTGGCAGAAGGATTTCCCACACACATTACACTCATAGGGTTTCTCCCCTGTATGTGTTCTTTGATGTTCCGTGAGGTTTGACTTCACACAGAACGTTTTTCCACATTGCTTACATTCATAGGGTTTTTCCCCTGTATGCGTTCGCTGATGGTTGGTAAGGTGTGGTTTCTGGCAAAATGATTTCCCACATTCAATACATTCATAGGGTTTCTCTCCTGTGTGTGTTCTCTGGTGTTGAGTGAGATTTGACTTCTCCCAAAATGTTTTCCCACATTCACCACATTCGAAGGTTTTTTCTCCTGAGTGAGCTCTCCGAAGTTGGGTGAGATGTGATTTTTTGCTGAAATTATTCCCATTTTCATTGTATTCATAGGATTTTTCCTCCATTTGTACTATCTGATGTTTAAACAGGATTGGTTTCTCCCAAGTTTTGTCACTTACTTCATATTCACGGTGAATCTTTCTTCTGTAAGCTCCCTGATGAATAATGAAAGTTGAGTTGTCACACAAGATTTCCCCATACTCATTATATGTATAAGGAATCACCTCTGTAAGAGCTCTCTGATGGCCCAATCTTAAATCCAGATAAAAGGGCTTCCCACAAATACTGCATTCATATGGCTCCATTTCCAAATGAGTTCTCTGAGACATATTGAACTTTACACTTTGGATGAAGGCTCTTTCACATTCATTATATTTACAGAGTGTCTCTCCTATATGAGCTTTATTTGTAAAGACTGCCTCCTCATGGAAGTCTCTCTCATTTTCATTATATTCAAAAGGTTGGTCAAAAATTGTCTGAGTGAGATCTTTGCTATGATTGAGGACATTCCTCTTTTGGTTGTAAGATTTCTCTCCAGGAGGAATTTTCTCATGCCTGGTATCAATGAGCAATTTCTCACATACATTAAACTCATCAAGCTTCTTTCCTGAAGAGTTCCTTTTACTAATAATTAAGTCTGAAATATTTTTCAAACTCATTTCACATGAGTCACATATTCTACAGGGATTATTTCTTGAAGGAACAGGGTCTATACCCAGGTTGAAAGTTTTCACTGTTCTATTACCACTCTGTTTACTTAAAGTTTTGTTGTTGGTGACTACAAATTGCCAGAAGTGTTCATCTTGATTTTCCTGGCTTCTCTCTATCAGGTCATCAACTTTCCAGTCCTCTAGAAATGAGAAAAATAATCACATCTTATGAATCTTAATACATTTCTAATGGAATTGAAGTTTTATACAAATATCCTATTATATAGTTCACTCTTTTGTTTCAGGCTCAGTTTTCTGGTGTGACTGAATCCAAGTATATATTTCCTCTACTCTCCTGGTCTGAGTAAAGTAAAAAAAGAAAAAGAAACAAAAAGCATGCTGCAGTGGAAACAAGGAGAGGAAACTGGGAATAACCACATATATATTTAACACTTTATAAATATAATCTTCAAAACTGGATACAGAAAAAGTGAGATAACATTCAAAGCACTGGAACTGAAGAGTGGTTGATTCAGAAGGAGGGAAACTCATAAATGGGATGAGCCCAACAGAGACAATGAACACTGAATAAAATTTATGACAGCAAATACTGGTCTAGTAGACAAGAGGTTTCAGAGGATGAATCACATCTGACGGAAGCAGAACGGATCCCCTTAAACACAGATAACTGGTGTAACAGTACCACTAGAGTACATGTATTCTACACATCAACACCAAATTAAACTTCTGAAGACACCAATTTTCTCAGGTTCAAAGAAATGGTCCTATAGCTCAGGATCTAATTTTTCCCTTAATTCACAGGGAATTTTTAAAAAAAAAAAAAAATATGCTGTAGGAGAAGATACAGAAGGTGAAATAAACTCTAAGACATGGTAACAAGGGGTGGTGGAGATCTTCTAAAAGTTGTTGATTTAGGGAGCAGGATACTCACAGAAAACTAAATGAGTTCAACAAGAGTGTTTTTTTCTCCCCCCCGCCCCCAAGGAAAACAAATAGGATGTTAAGGAGACATCAGAGGAAGAACTAAGTTTGTGGAGGCAGATCATGGTTTTGGTTTTTCTTTTCCATTTATCAACATCAAAATAAATTACTGAATGCACCTATTTTCTCATGTTTTAAGGAACACTGTTTTATCCCAGACTCTAACTTACCATCTAAGGGTGATTCAAAGGAACACAAATGTTTAACAGGAAATACAAAACAGATGAGGGGGTATGTCATTCTTGCAAAAGAACCAGATTCATTCTATTTTCTCACAACTATTAATGAATCTGTCCCGACTATCTAGTCAAATGTTTCTTCACTTCAATATGCTGAGTTACGTTCCTCAAAACAATTTTTTTTCATAGGTAACTGATCCTTAAGTCTGTTTTTATATCTGGGTTTTCTCATCTGTGGTTTTTACTTGTGAGACACGTAAGATCATATTTCTTTATATGGTTTTAGAAAGTTCAGCAAACCTTATCATAAAATTTCTTGGCTATAGTTCACTGCTGCTACCCAATGCAAAAATATTAATTTCATTAAAAAAAAAAAAAAAAAAAAACTATGACAACTCTGAGTCTACCGTCCCTGAGGACAAACACGTAAAAAAAAAAAAAAAAACTCAAAACAAAACTTTCACCAACTGGATTCACATTAAGTGCTCAAGCCACCATTCCACAAGTCTATTAAAATATCTTCTAACTAGGTATTTAGTCTCTTAAATTGTTCATTCCCAACCACATGACTTTTACTCAACTAACTGCACTTCACTTTGGCTCTACTTGGGAACCAAACATCCTTCAGTGAAATGCTACTTTCTTTTATTTAACATGTTTTCTCTTTTATGAAATTAAAAAAAAATAATAAAAGAACAAAAGCCAAAAAACATTTTACAAAATCCCTACCATTTTAAAGCTCCATTTGCTCCCACCATTAGAAGTTACTATCTATATCATTCGTTTTAATGTAAAATCAATCCCTTTTTCAATGCTATTGCCTCTGTCATGACCACAGCTGGGCTCTTGGCAGGTGTTATTAAAATCTTGTTTCCTCTTATAAGGAAAAAAGAGACAGTACATTAATAATTCTTAAAAACAATGTAAGGTGAAATATTTTCAACCTGCACTTGATGAGTTGCAACACCTGGATAAAATATAGGAACATGAATTTTAGAAAGAGTTCTACGAAATGCTTTCTTCAGGAATGAAAAAGAACGATCTCTGCTAAACTTGGCTTCATAGTTAACCAACAAAAAAATTATTAAAATCTCAGAATTAGGAAAAGTAAGACACGGTCTTCACTTCAGGAGAACAAAATCTTAAGGAAAAAAAAATCCATAGGCAACAGCTATATGATCAGGTCTGAGTTTTGTAGAATGCAGCCACTAAATAGTCATAAAATATGGACTATTTAAATTACAGCAAAATATTTAGCTCTAACTTAAAATAAGTGAAATAAGCAGTAAAAGACAAAATAGATAAACGGGTCCTCATAAAAATTAAATACTCTTTTCATCAATGGACTTAATGAAAAAAGTGAAAAGATAACCTAGAGACTGGGAGAAAATTTTGGGGAACCGTATCGCTGGTAAGGGTCTAATATACAAAATACATAAAATATTTCTAAAATGTAACAACAAAAAGACAATCCAATCAATAAACGGGCAAAGGACTTGAACAGACATTTCACCAAAGATGATATTCAAATAACCAATAAGCACATAAAAAGATGCCCAAGGTCATGAGCTGTTGTTGTTGTGTGCACTGTTGAGTCAATTCCAACTCACAGCAACCCTACAGGACAGAGTAGAACTGCCTCATTGGGTATCCCAGACTGTAACATTTACAAGAGCAGATCTCCAGGTCTTTTCTCCTGTGGAGCGGCTGATGGGTTAGAACCGCCAAACTTTCAGTTAGCAGCCAAGTGCTTAACCACTGCACCACCAGGGCCCCTTTCATTAGCCATTAAGGAGATGCAAATCAAAACCACAATGACATACCGTCTTACCCCATTAGAATGGCAATGATCAAAAATAGGGAAAACAAAAGGTTGTAGAGAAACCAGAACCTCATCTATTGCTGGTGGGAATGTAAAATGGTACATACAGCCTACGTGGAAAACAGTCCGGTGGTTCCTCAAAAAGTCGAACACAGAACTACCATATGGCCCAGCTATTCCACTCTTAGGTATATACCCAAGAGACATGAAAAGCAGCAACGCAAACAGACGCACGTATATCAAGGTTCACTGCAGCACTATTTCCAATAGCCAGACGGTGGAAACAAATGAAATGTCCGTCAACGGATGGATAAACAAAATGTGGAATATACATAAAATGAAGTATTACTGAGCCATAAAGACAAATGAAGTTCTGATAGACGCCACAACATGGATGAACCTTGAAAACATTATGCTGAGCGAAAGAAGTCGCAAAAGGACAAATAATGTATGATCTTACTTATATGAAATAAGCAAACATAGAGAAAGTAAAAAATTATTAATGATTACCAGGGGTAGGAGAGACGGGAAAATGGGGAGTTTTGGCTTAGGAATCAGTGAGTTTATGTTAATAGTGGTGGAATAATTTGGAAAAGGATAGTGAGATTAGCTGCATAACTTGAAGAAGGCAATCGATGTCACTGAATTACACATGTAGAAATTGTTGAATTGGCATGTGTTCTGCTGTGTATTTTCACAACATAAATAAATAAATAAAAATAAAGGTGAAATAATAACAAGAAGCCATTACTACGTGCCATGCAATGTTTGCACATTTCACATGCTGTATTAGCTCATTTAAGTATCTGGAACAAGCACACAGGTATGGAAGTTGTAGATAAAAGAGAAAACATTTATAAGTGAAATTTAAGATATAAGCTAGTATGGGGTTTAATATGAATTATGGAGAGCAGAAAGAAATACAGACAGGTAGAATAGGACCATGTTGTAACAGTCAATGAACCAAGACCAAAAACCAGTTGCCATCAATTGACTCTGACTCACGGCAACCCCGTATGTGTCACAGTAGAACTGTGCTCCAGAGATTTTCAATGGTTGATTTTTCTAAGTAGATTGCCAGGTCCTTCTTCTGAGGAGCTTCTGGATGGACTCAAATCACAAACCTTTCAGTTAGCAGCCACGCACATTAACCATCTGTACCACCTAGGGATTCCAATCAATAAAAGGGGAATTATCAGTTACTAATAAAGCACAATTTTAGGTTACTTTGTCAGGCTAGTGAAAGATAAAATGGAAGCTTTAGAAAAAAAATAAAAATAAAAACCCATTAGAAACTGAGAAAACAAGAAACGAGAAAACTGCACTTTTGGTTTTGAGCAATGTCAGGGAAAAGTGAGAATATGACGACATACAGAAGATGGTTCAGAAAAGAAAATAATAGCAGGAGTATGAAGAGACCAGTAAGAGAAGATAACAGGTTTGGAAGATTCAGTGATCCCATGGTTGCCATTTATGGTAGTAGTAAAATGGTAGAATATTCCTTACTGACTCCTGGGACACCAGGCTCTCTGCTTTTCCTGTAGCTCCGCGTTTCCTTCTCAGTCTTCTCTAAGAAGGGATTTAATGGCATTACATGCCTTCTAAACGTGGTATCATCCTAGGACTTCTTTTCTCACCTACATACAACTACACTCTAGAAAAAGGGTCAGCGAACTACAACTACAAAGCAAATGACCTTTGAGCTAAGAATAGTTTTTACATTTTTCAAAGGGAAAAGGAAGGAGTAGGGAGGAGGGAGGAGGAGAGGAAAAGGAAAAGCAAGGTAAAGAGGAAGACAAAGACATAAAAGGAGCAGCAGCAGAAACAGCACCACAGCAGCAGTAACTGAGAGCATATGCGGTCCACTAAGCCTAAATATTTACTATCTGGTCTTTTACAAAAAAGTTTGCCAACCTCTATTCTAGAAGAGCTCATCTAGCCCATGCCTTTAACACCATCTAAAGTCAAGGCCTTTCCAGTGGATACTTTTGGTTCTGGCCTCAACTATGTACTCCATACTTGTAAATCCAATTGTCTATTCATTACGCAGATTAGATTCTAAAGTTGTCAGATGCCGCTGAGGTGGTTCCGACTGATAGCGACCCTGTATACAACAGAATGAAACACTGCCCAGTCCTGCCCCATTTTCACAATTGCTGTTATGCTTGAGCCCATTGTTGCAGCCACTATGTCAATC